AATATGGGAGCCTATGAGGGACATTTCTCATTCAAGACACCCATTCCAATCTCTGTATCGGTTGTGTTGTTGTTGTTGTTGTTGTTTTTGTTTTCTTTAAGACTGTATTACTCTTAAACTATTGAAATTCTTAGAAGACTGTGAGACTTTTTAAAAGTGATGCTGTGTTTATTATGAAATCATCATGAGATCTTGAGAACAAGGAAAGGTTATGGTTTTAAGTGATGTGTTTGTGTCTGTGGGGCATTTTAATGATTACTGAATGGTGTAGAAGGGCCAGCCCACTGTGGGTAGTACCATCCCTGGGCAGGTAGTCCTGGAATTTATAAGAAAGGTAGCTAAATATGGGCCTGGAAGCAAGCCAGTAAGCAGCAAAGGGTCTCTGCTCTATCCTGTCTCAGGTTCCAGTTGAGTGTCTGTCCTGGCTTCCCTCAATGACAGACTGTAACGTTAACCTGAAATAAACCCTTTCCCCAAGAACTTGGTTTTGGTTCCTGTTTTATAACAGTAACAGATATTGAACAAGAGAATAGTACAATTATTGTACTAACAGATCTTATCTGTGAATGCTCAAAAAAAAAAAAAGTGATATCCTCATAGCTAAGATTTGTTACCTAGTGGTGAGTGCTCAAAAACAAAAAACAAAAAACAAAAAAAAAAAAAAAAAAAAAAAAAAAAAAAAAGTGATACCTTGCCAGGCACAGGCAGTGGTTGTGTGCACATTTTAATTCTAGCGCTTGGGAGTCAGAGGCAGGCAGATCTCTGTGAGTTTGAGACCAGCCTTGTCTACAAGAGCTAGTTCCAGGATAGGCTCCAAGGCTATACAGGGAAACTCTCTCGAAAAACCAAATTTAAAAAAAAATGATACCTTTATTCTTCATTAACTTGCATATTACAGCAAGGGAGAAGCATTTCGTTGTGGAGGTGGTTCCAGATGTGGAGGATGTGGCACTGTTAGTATTTGGCATCTTCTCATTGAGAGTGCTTTTGCAGCCCTGTGAAGTAGAACCTGGGACCAGTGAGCTCTGGAATGAGACTTTGAATCCTACCTCCACCCCTTACTGATCTCAGGAACCCAGAGGAATGCCTACAGTACTCTAAGCTTTGATCCATTCATCTGGGAAATGGGCCTAATACAGTCCCATTAAGTATTTATTTAATTCAGTCCCCTAATTATATTCAAAACCTAGTAAACAGTACCAGGAGCTATGAATGGTCAGGTGCACACATGGCTTCACAGATTTTTATTCTCAACACAGTAAGGGTTTTCCTTTTGAATGCAGCAAGAAACCCCTTCCAGCTGGCTACTGGGTTGGTTTAGATGGTCCTTAGCGTTTATAGACCAGGAAGCTTGTTCTGCTTCATGGCCCATGAATTCCAGTTTCCCGTGTGTATAGACCATACTGTCTGTCTACATAACTTAAACTCAAAGTTGGTCCAAGTCAAGCTAGATAAAATCCCAGCACAAAGTTCCAGCCCTGGCTAAGAAACCATTTGCATCTGATAAATGCTAGGAGACATTGAATCCATTCTACTCAATGGAGTGGCATTGAGTATATTGACCACACTCCAGGGAAGACCCTGTTAAAAAAATAATAATAATATCCTTGAAAATATTTCCTGGTTACAGTGTTGCTATGAATCATTTTCTGTGGCTAGCAGGTCCTCCTCAATGTATTAAGAGCAAATTAATTTCTAAAGCTTATACCCTTTATAATTAACACAGTTTTCTTCTTAGCCATAGACTGCCTGCAATGCTATTGTATATATCCCTAATGAAACAGAAGTGTCAAGGGTATCCCAGCATTGGGCTCCCTTACATAATAGCTATGCTGGAGACACCTAATGTAAACTGTGAGTGCCCAGCTGAAATCAACAATGGATGCAAATTGATTTTGATGCAATTGCTACCACATTTTACAGCCTATCTTGAATGGTCTTATAATTAGCTTCAAAGTAGGTGGTACATGTGTAAGTTAAATATAATATCTAAACCATTTCAGTTAAAGACAAGGCTCAGACAACTAATCATTAAAATCAGAATAAAAAGCTACAGGTTTCTTGTTCCGAAGCCACAGCTGGCATTTGTAATGAGTTTTTTCTCCACCTAACAAAGGTTGGAGGAACATTCTCAGTGTGAAATCCAGTAGCTGATAGCCGTTGCAGGGTCATGGTGGCCAAATATATTGAATTTGAGTGAAGAAATCTGTTTGTTACAAAACTAGAGGCAAAGTTTTATTTTCTACTTAATGCTCTTACAACTTAAAATTTACTTCAGTCCCATAAATATCTAATAAAGAAATAGTAATAAATACCATTTAATTCTGTAAAAAGAAAATGGATACATTTTCCTGAATGTACGTATGTAGTACATACATATTCACAGAAAGAACTCTGAATTAAAAAATAAACAATTGTGATTCAATTTTACAAAAAAAAAAAATTCTATTACAATTGAAGAATTGGGAAAAAATCCCCAGTTTGCTTTATAAAATGTAGGCATCCATAGCTCAAAAGACTATATCCAAGAGGCTATAGAAATATATTTGTATGTAGTTTTTGTTTGTTTGTTTGTTTGTTTGTTTTGTTTGTTTTCTGTTAGCTCTGGCAATGCAATGTAGCGATCCTCTAGCATCAACTAACAATAAGTGATTGTAGTGAGGATCACAGTGATTGGAATTTCGGATCTTGAGGTGAAAGTAGGAAGGTTATCATCGTGAGGCTGGTCAGCCTGGGCACCATAGCATGATCTAGCTTTGCAACATCAGAGAAAGGCTGTGAATTAAGTCAATCTACTCATATAATTTTATAGAATACATTTGAAAAACTTTCCTTTATCTCGTGTGTGTGTGTGTGTGTGTGTGTGGGTGCTCAAGATATGTGTACATGTGAGTGCAGGCATACATGTGCTACAGTGTGCCTACAGAAATGGGGACACACCCCGCAGTGTTTGTCCTCGCCTTGCGCCTTGTTTTGACACAGGATCCCACAGGGATGGCTGACTGACCGGTGAGCTCTGGGCATTCCCTTGTCTCCTACTCCCATTCTACTGTGTGCAAGTGCATTCCTCACTGAGCCCTCTCCCCGGCCCAGAGCTGGCATCCCAATCCATGCTCTGCTCTCAGTTACTTTCCTCATTGCCCAATAGGAACAGCCCCCTCTCACAGCATCTGAGGCAGGGCTCCTTCTTCCCTCTGCTATGGGTTGTTTTTCTACATCCTAGAATCAGAGCAGATGTTGTTGAATGTCAAAGAGAGTAGGCCCCCACTAGTTGAGAGAGGTGATTTTACAGTGAATTAACTTGTTTCCTTACTTGAACAGAATACCTGCAATCACTGATTGTCACATCTATCTTTTGTTGTAAAACTGAACTAATTGAAGATGCTGCCCTCGGGGAACCGGCTCACGGTGCGATGAATGTAGAGAGCACTCTTCAGCTTAGCGTTTTAATTATTCATAATTACAATTATTTCTGTTTATCTGAGATCTTTGAAAAATAATTCTAGCTTATTAAACAAAATGAGAAGCCGAGTCCTCAGGGCTCTGTTTTGGTTCTCGCTGAGGTCAGTGGGCCTGGGAGCATGCCAACTTCTCACATGCACTGAGCGGTTTTACGGCTAGTGGGTAGTCACAGTGGACATGTGTCCTGCCCTGGAGTAACTGAGTATGCCTGTTTGTCCCTGACTGCTTTAGAGTTCCAGGATGCACTGGGACTATGAGGCTGAGGATTGACAAGAACTCAAGTAGAAGAACTGTACATAATTTATGACAATATAGTAATCAGTGAAGGGACTCAATAACGTCAACTGCTGATATTAGCAGAGTGTATGGGTTTTTTTTTTTGTTTGTTTGTTTGTTTGTTTTGGTTTGGTTTTGGTTTTGTTCTTGTTTTTAAGACCCATGAGTTTTCTTATAGGAGCACACCTATTTAGCGATGGGCTCCCATTGGCAATTGTTCACTGCTAGGAGAAGGAGAGACAGTCTTCAGTAAGAGTGTAACCCTGGCAGGCTCTCCATTCCCCAATGGAAGGGGAATTTAGGCAGCCTACATGAGTCTTGAAGAATTTTTTTTAAATAGGACACAAAGTTGTGTGGGGAGTGAAGGGGGTATGGATCTTGGGAGAGTAGTGGGAAGGGGAAGTGAATATTATCAGAACACATGATATTAATAACTCAAACAATTAATAAAATTAAAAGAAGACAATCAAAAGAGTGCTTGTGAATGCATTTACTGTGTGTGTGTGTGTGTGTGTGTGTGTGTGTGTGTGTATTCATCTGTATGTGTTTAATTTGCTTTGTGTTTCAAATATATTAGAATCCCTTGTACTCAAATAAAGATGATTTCTGGGCTGCTTTGGATCTTTGTGTCTACTTTTATTGATCTACATTAGTGATAATGATGTGTTAATTTTCTACAGTCTATGCACAAGTCACAAATGCTTTAAGTAGTAACCTAATATAGCAACTGTCACCTTCAAAAGGTTTTTCCAGTCTAGTCTACATCATCCATCCCTTTTCTGTCTCGTTTGCAGTCTCTCTCATACAACACTTCAGTTTTAGATTCAAATATGCACTCAAGTTAGAGAACCCTTTTGTCTACTGGTAGCCTGCAGTCAAAGGTAGGAATGATTGATGTGGAAAATCATCAAATCTATAAAAAAGGTGAGCACAGAGATGCACAAGATGTGGCATTTCTAAAGAGAATACATTTAGCCATGCTCACACCAGATGAGAAGCAAAGTTCTGCTTGGGAACATTATTTGGAAGTGTGCACCAGCGTACCCATTTTAAACCCCCTCCCAATCAAGTAGGATGAATAATTCTGTATTGTATTCTGGGGTTAAGGTCCATTATTAAAAAAGTATTTAAAAAGGAACAGAATAACCATAGAGGGAAATGTTTTCTACCATCAGTAGTAAGTCTCTTTCCATAACAAACGTTTAACCACAGCTACTAAGGAAAGGAATTTAAAAAAATTGATTGTAATAATTGCTTTCCAGGTATTCGCAAAGAGAAAAACTCACAGGACAACCAGGAGGTGAGGCAAGGCCATGAGACACCCACTAGCCAGCTAATCCTCGCTGGAGTAACTGAGAAGTGTCTGAATGTAGGTATGTGGACCTGTCCCTAACCGTAACTTCTGCCACATATGGCCAGTCATGCTGGCTGCCTCTTCAGCGTTCTGAAGGCATGCTTGCATGCACAAAGAAGTGTCCATGCAGAACTGTGCGATGGGCCTCCAGCATGAGGCCTCTCTGGCCTTTTGAGCATTTAAAACTTTCTGCAACGTGATTGTCAGTCTCCTCCTACTCAATATTTTCATTTCCTCCTAACTGAAGCTTAACCTGGCTTCTCTGAATGCAGAGATCATTTGTCTTTTATGTCTGTACTATCCCATACATTCCCCAAAAATTCTTTGCTGGCCTTAGTTCTCCTATGATGGGAAAGGGGAACAGATTAAGAGAATGTACATTTGAAACAGATAGGTTTGGACACCCACTCAACCAATCTCTAGTTGGGGGACCTAGGTGATGCTTTATGTTAAAACAATCTATTCTTTAGTTTTCTTGTCTTCAGAAGTGAGGATAAGACTGCTGGTAAGCCTGCACCACTCTGACAGATACAGAGATAAGCACCATCAAGAGATTTGGTTTTGTCTCTGTTTCAGTGATTGTGGTTCAAGGTTAGTTGAACCACATTTCTAAGTGTGTCATGTCACTATGGCAAAAGGACTTGGTGAGGAGAGGCTTCGCATCTTGTGCCAGGCAGAAAACAGAGCAGGGAAGGAAGGGTCCAAGACAAGATATGCATCTTTAAAGGCACACTCCATGACCTCCTTCCCCCAGCCTGACTCTAACTTCTTTCTAAACACCTTCCAACAGTTACATATTATCAGTAATTCATTACAGGGCTTAGTCATGATTGAGGGAAAGCCCACACGGTCCAATGACCTCAAAGTGATAAGCCCTACCAGCTGAGAGCAAGCCTCAACTCATGATTCCTGAGGGGACACATATTATAAAACAATGACAAATGCTGTGCATGTTGTTGGATTGCTCTTAAGACTAAGTATGATGATGATGGGGAAAAGTTTAAAGTAGAGTTTAAGACATTAAACCATCAAAAATTCTTCAGTCAATTCTTGCATTGTATACTAGAAAGTAGATAACATGGTCCCATTTTAAAGTAAGGACATTATGATGCTAAAAGGTTACATTGCTGTCTGAAAACACATGAGGAGGCAAAATCATCAGGAAAGTGTCTAATGTTAAGGACTAGGCTACATCTCAACATCACCAGGCACAACAGATGCCCAGTTATCGCTTGATACTGAAAACGTAGAAACCTTTTCTCCTCCACTCTAAACTCTTAAAGTATTGTGAGATTATACAAGACTTTACTCTTCCAAAGATATGTTGATGGTCTGTAGCTCAGTGACAGAAGGCTTGCCTATATACACAAGGCCCTGGATTCGATCCCCAACACCTCAAAAACATAGAATGGGAATGTAAATGTGTGTATGTGAATAATTGTGTGCAAATGTGTATACATGTGGTGGATGTGTACATAGGCAAGGGACTGACATTGGGTTCATTCATCATGCTCCATCTTAGTGTTTAAGACACGATTTCTCACTGAACATAAAAGTTACCAATATGGCTAGACTGGGTAGCCAGCAAACTTCAGATAGCCTCCTCTCTTGTTCGTCTCCAGCACTGAGATTAACCACATGCCATATGGCCCACCTGCTTACAAAGAAAGATTATGCTGAGTCATCTCCCAAACCTCTAGGATGTGAAATACATTTAGTTGGTGATTAATACATTTTATTAATGGATTGCCTTGAATGAGGTAAATTTATAACTGCTGGGTTTTTTGTTTGTTTGTCTGTCTGTTTAGTTTTCTTTTTTGCTTTGGTCCAGAGGCTAAAATTCTCAAATATTTCTGTTTTGAGGCACTGAATAAAGGAGGAAATGTTCCTGTCTTTTATACTCTAGGTCATTCTATAAGTAGGATGACTCAAGTAATGGGAACAGCAGAAATAATTAACACATTCCTTTTTAATGTTGATTTTTATTATTTTTAACTATCTGTAGGTATATATGTCTACATGGCAGAGGTCTTAGTGGTCAGAGGCATCTAGTCCCCTGCAGCTGGAATTACAGACAGCTGGGAGCTGCCTGATGTGGGCCTTAAGAAAACAGCTCAGAGCCTCTGGAAGAACAGCAAGTGCTTTTGACTTCTGAACCATCTCTCCGGCCCTGTTAAACACATTTTTATCCCTCCTTATTCTCTAAGAGTCAGCCCTCCCTCTGCCTTCCACCTTTCATCCTGTTTCCCATATGGTCGTTTATGTTGAAAGCAGTATCCCATGCTAAAACTTAGCCTGTGGATTTTAGGGGGAAGGTGTTACTTCAGGAAAAACAACTATAAAGTTTAGATGAGCTTTGAAATTATTTTGGAGAATTTACAAAGTTCTCTGGCTACATGGCTGACTAGCCCATCTTAGAATGTGTTTCTGTCTAGGAATTCAAACACTGGATCTATGCTTCTGTAGCAGGTGTGCCGGTTTGTAGTAATAAATCCATCCTTAAATCCAACTTTACCAACCCACCACCACCACCGCATCGATTATCTCCTGCCTCCTCTGCCCACCAGTGAATTCCAGAATACCTTCAGATGTCCTTCCATTGCTAACTGCGGATTAGAAAGGCGGGCCTTTCAAACTCTGCTTCCTAGCTTTTTCACTTCACCATTCACACACATCATTTCCCTTACTCTTCAAGACAACACCGTGAAATAGCTGTTTTTAATCCTCATTTACCATCAAAAATCTCTGTGTTTGGAGTTCAGTGCACAGCTAGTGGAAGACGTTTTCTCATACAAGTTTAATCCAAAGACCAAGTAGATGATGCAGGAGTCTCAGGGACAAAGTGAGCCCTAGATTCAGATTCTCTATTTAATCACAAATTTGAAGTGGCCTCGGGCACATCATATACTTTCATGCCTTGGTTTCCTCACTCACATGACATTATTATGAGAATCAAAATATCTTCTGCAAATGGAATTGAATTATCAGAAGTCCTACAACAAATTATAGTTGTGGGTAAGATATATTTAAATACTGGTGCAGCTAAGGAGTCCACAAAAAGGTCCCAAACTCCTGGAAGGCATTGCTCAAGAGATAGACATGATAAAAGAAAACCAAAGACCAAAGATACAGAAACACCACACTGTACAGAGATTCTGGAAGCAAACTTTGGGCAGAGTTCAATACCAGTGCTGATCCAATTCTGTTTAGTTCTCAATTCTTAAATGTCAGAGACCCAGAATATGGTCTTTCTTGGGTTTTTGTTTGTTTTATAATTTGTGTTTTAAAATGTAGCTACATGCCATAATCAATAAGCTAGGAACTGCACAAAGTGTCTTTGGACCAAGAAAACAGGAGGTTCTTGGTCTGGTGAGGAAGAAATTCAAGAGCAGATGCAGAGGAGACCCAAAACTTAGTTGTATTACAGTTAGAGAAATCCAAGTATCCTCTAGTGATGTACAGATGGGAAAGTTAGAGCCCTGAGTAATCTCAGAATTGCTATTTCTACTTTTAAAAAACCGTATATTTATAAAGTATATGGCATGTTCATAAGTCTACGGCCCTTTCTTCCCATGGCAAATCATAAAGCCCTCAAATGCTAACAAAGCTGGGTCTTTTGAGGGTACCAGTGTGGCTTTTTATGATACCTGTCTTTCAGCTCACAAAATCCTCCCCGTACTTTAGCTTCTTGGAGAATGGGAAGAACTTAGCTGCAGCTTCAAGGATGTTTAATCATAGACTTGTGTTTGTTAACTATCATGGGAAACATCTGCAGTTGTCTTGGTTACTCCATGTCTAACTCCTTGCTTAACCAACATAAATCAATAGGTAAATCACTGGAACTATTGCATATGAAAAAGGTTATTTGGCAAACTATCATTTGAAAAGTTATGAGGAATACAACACACAAAGATAGTTTTTAATATTACATGTGCACCACCCAGCTTTCCTGAAACACCCTAGATCCTCTATTGTGTTATCTGGGTTTTGACCTTTTAGATGCTGTAGGGAGTGAAGTATATTTGACGAATGATTAAGCATAAGCTTCAGTTATTCTGCTACTAAAAGCATCTCAAACTCAGAAAATTGTGAGATGTTTTCTGTTTCTTAGCCCTTAATTACATTCCCACTGAATTAAGACAATAGCTCATTAATCTCAACATATGGCATAAAGATTTTTATTTAGATTTAATAGTTGCCATTGTTTCTTTGTGTTCTTTGTTTACCCATTGTCTCAAATGCCTGTTACTAGATTGCTTAACAAAGCTGTATTTTATCCTATGTGAGAAGAGACAACCTCAATGATACCTTCTTTAGAAACCAGAGAGAATGGGGAAAGTATTTTTGAGTCCACTGTAAAATCCTACCCAGAGATCTCTTTTTCTGAAATCTAAGGCTGAGATGGGGAATCGATGGCTCAATTCCATCTGTCCAATTCTAACTATCAAGTATTTCTAAAATTACAAATTTGTAATTCCAACAATACATTTGAGGTTTTCAGTAGTCTCCTTGCGGGGGTAGTGTTGATCATTAGTGTTACTTATTAAGCATCTTGGTGGAAGAAAGAGATACAAGGATCATGATTACAGGAGTATAACAATGAATGACTAATCTGGGGTATATTGGAAGAATATAGCCCTCGGTTACAAAAGTATCTTGCAAACTGTAAGAACAGTATACGAATACTGTTCCCCATAAAAGGTGTTTGCAATGCCACTTTCTGGTACTATTATTATGTACTACATTGTATTACTATATATTAACTGTATGTAATAACATATCAATAATTACTATGTATTACTTTTACTACTTTGACAGAATGGAGAAAGTTCTTCTGCCCCTTCTACTTAAAGAGCATGTATTCTTCAACGCATATCAGGATGGCATTTTCTGAATACAGTTGGGCATTTTATCTGCTCTTCATGGAGTATCTGCTCCATGCTTGTCTTAGTTGGGGTTTCTATTGCTGCAGTAAAACACCATGACCAGAATGAACTTGGGAAGCAAAAGGTTTATTTC